TTCACTGTGGAATTGCTCTGTTCGGGCTAAGGTCCTTAAACTATCAGATTTTTCAGCAAAGTTTTCATGCTGAGTGTAGAGCGCTTCTGAAACATCTGGCCCTGGACCTGTACACTGTTCAGATCTAATGATAGCAAAACTCATCACCACTTCTCTGGGAAAGTCCAGCAGAAATGCTGGGATGAATAGGATCCTCAAGACGACTGGAGCAGACTTGAATCTGCCTTAGATTTGCTACTGTTTCTTGGGAGCACCTGTATTCCTGAAGGAGGGGTTTAGCAGAAGTATTTTCAGTGTTTGCTGGATGGGGATTTATGGGGGCACTGCGGTGGGAAAATGTGACTGACTAGTTCATGCTGAACTCTCAAGGGCATACCCTGCTCAGTGGTGATTTTGATTACTTACTATTGTAGTAAGCCTTTTTGTAAGAGCAGGTTTAGGAAAAGGGACCCTGGAGAGTTTGGATTTGGCAGGCGCAGGCTGCCTATGGAGATGCTGCGTGGATGAGGGATGATATACATTATGCTCCCATATATTCCAGAGGCCACTCTTCAAAGCCAAATAGCCATAGCCGGGTTGGTCTAAAACTCAGACCTAGGAAGGCTGTGAAAACCAAGGAAAGCTGATAGTTTTGTGAAGTTGTCGAGTTTTTATTTTATCATAAACCAGAGGGCAGCATGTAATTAACATTTAATATTTTTGTAGTGTGAAGGAGAGAAGGAAAAAGCATGCCTGGCCTGATGTCATCTGGCATCAATATTTGCTCCCTGGAGGGAGAGCTGGGTTTGTTTTCTCAGTTCTCACAGGGAAGAGGCTGTGGTGTTTGACCCAGCAGCTATCGCTCACCCCAGCAGTACCTCCAGCACAGCTCAGTCTGACAGGTGTGCTTGGTCCTCTCTGAGGATGGCAGCCATGATGGGAGTCCTGAGGGGGCATGAGAAGAAACCTGTGGCAGCTCTGGGGAGACTGCAGGAGGTCCCATGGGGTGGGAGTGAGGAGAGAACGCTCCGTGAATCATTGTGCCAAGGGAAGCAAAATCACTGGCTGACTACAGCAGAGGGGAAAATTTACCTTCTCCTCCATCCTTCAGCAAGGAAGTGTTCAGTCACAAAGATACATCTACACACTTACTCTTGTGCAGGTGCCCAGATTGCTAGCCTGACAAACCTCAGCTCTTTAATTTTTATTCTGCTCTCTACCTTCTTGAAAAGTAAAAAGGGTAGTTCTTGTCTTCTGCTCTCTGTGAATTCCAACACTGCTGTTTTGTTTGACAGAAACTCTGCAAAAGGATCTGATGGCTTAGAAAGAACTCTGTAAGTGAGATCAGTTTTCCAAAGCAAGTATCATTGCAGAAGTGCAGGTGGATCACCCTTTTTCCTAACGCAGGTGCTGCTGTTGCTTTCACAAGGTACAGCTGCTGCTAATCCAGCTTCTGGATGTTTCGGTTTGCCAAGGAGATGGGCTGGGTGGGGAAGCGATCTGTGTTGTTGGGGCTATATCGTGGCATGATATGGGTTACATGCATGCAACTCAATCAGAGTATTTATAAATTAGATTTTACTTTTGGAATCCAGCTCAAGTTCAGATCAGTTTTGTTCGCTGTTGCGTTGCTCCCCCCATCATTGAACTTGCAGCTACTGGGTGACATTTAAGCAGAAGGGCAAGTGATGGAACAATTAAGGTGTTAGACTGGGTATTTGAATTTTAACATATGTAAAAGCACGCACAACATCAAAGGGGGGCTTACTGGGAGTTTTGAATCCAGGAAAAAAAATCAGTCTGAACAGAGAGAGTTCTTGAATGCTCTTAAGAGTAAGCTCTGCAGCTCTAGAGTTGTGATGCAGAACTGAGTATGGGATCAATACCTGAAGTGTGAAGTAGCCCTGATGTCTTAGTGCCCAGTAATCCTCTTGCAAGGCAGCTTTCTAAGCTGAGCGTGATATTTTAAGCAATGTGTAACCATTTAACCTTGCAAGTCCAGCATTTTACATGAAACCCTTTGGCTGAGAGAAAGACCCCAGTACTGCTTTTCTAGGACTCCTTGTTTTTTGGTCTTTGTTTCATAGCATACAGAGAAAGTAGAAAGATGTTGACTTTGTTAAACAAAAATATATTGTTTGAAAAACAACATCTGTCTCTCCAAGGTCTTTATACCAAGAGATAGACTTAAGAACACATGATTGGGAAGAAACACCAGGCTGCTATTCTTAGCCCTAATGGCCCTTTTTTGATGCCACAACGGAGATAAAATCAGACTTCAGGATTAAATAAGAAGCAATCTGTTTGTAGTATTCCAAGAAGAAATTTAGTTTTGGTGGGGCTTTTTTGTTATCACTGGAAGACTTCTCCCAGTGAGATGAGGAATGGCCAACTCGTTGATGTTTTCAGGGTCAATTAACACTATTTGTATAAATTCCTCTTTGTGACTTTAAATTTGGCATGATGAAAAACAAAGACGTAGATGTCTTGTGCTAGTTCAGCTCCTTCACTTTAGAGGGAGTAACTTACCATTTCTGAAAATGCAGAACAGGAGCAGCATCGGCCTTAAATGATGGGGTTTGTTTAGCAGTGAGAAGATACAGATGTGTGGTGAAGGCTGATGCAGGCATCCTCTCATGCGGTCCCTCCAGAGAGCAAGAGGCAGCTTTGTCTGTCTGTGCTGTGTCTGCTTCGTGCCCCGGTGTGGGGTCTTGCTCCAGGCCTCAGCTACTCCGCCACCAATAACAGTGCCGACGTTTCTTCTCTCTCTTTTGGTTTTGAGGGATATGAGGAGTTTGTTAATTTTTTCCGCTGAGCTTATTTTTGAAAAATGAATTTATATTATTTTAAACACCATTAATCTTTAATTGTTTTCTCTGTGGATGACCTTTGACTGGAGGAGCAGGTGTGCTGGCTCCTCTCTAATCCTACTGGCATCCATTTCAGCATCAATTTCTGATAAGTTTTGTCACCTCCCTGGGTACTGGGGAGAATTATTGAGTGAGCGTAGGGAGTGGCAATGCAAGAACACAAAATTACGCTCCTCATCAATCATTATCCTCTAGCAACTTCCAGAGCATTGTAAATTGCTGACTAACAAGGGCAAATTAGCTTGATAAAATCACCATTAGTGTCAGTTTAGAATGATGTAAAGTTTTAAAGACATGGCTGTCCGCTCTGTCTGTCTCTCATCCATTAGTGTGTCTGTTCGTGGAGATCCCAATCCAGCAGAGCACATAAGCACATGCTTTATTTAGGCAGATCACTAATCCCAAGGAAATCACTGGGGTACCAGTCCTAAGCATGTGTTTACGTGCTTCACTGGAACAGAGCCGTAACACACATTCTCTTTCTGATCACACAGATGATAAATATCTGCATGAGCTGGTCTCTTGATTCAAAAACTGGTTCAGACTCATCAGCTGGACTTAGAAATATGAGCACAAGAGTCAAGTTTTAGTGAAAGAGAGCATGATATTGAGCAGATATATTCTGTTATTTTAATTTTATCAGTTTATGCTAGCTAAGGATCTGCCTCTGTAAGCCTCTGCATAGCCGTCTCAAAGCTCTACCTTGACTAAAATTTAAACCATATTTGGACCATATATAGAACTTAGTGTAGCCAGGTCAAGAGTTGCTTTTTAAAAGCTATAAATGCAAATGCAGCCAATATAGTTAATAAAGAAGCAGTCTGTATTAGCTTATGAACGTGTCTCAATGTTGCTGGACTGCAGGCCGAATATCACAGTTTGTTTTTAAGGGTAGCTTTTATTTGCCTTCTGGTTTCTCAGTGTTTAGGGTTTATTTCTCCGTGTTTTCAATTTTTCTTCGCAATCTTGAAGGCAAGAACCTTACTTCTAAAAAAAAAAACCAGTAAAGGCATAATAATGGAGGCTCAGATCCTCATATAATCGTTTGACTACAGTAGGTGCGACGTAAGGAAAGTGCAAGGCATTTCCAGACTTACCACAAAATCACAAGGCTGATCAACGCCCCTCATTTATGTCTAAATATTGCTCTAAAGTTTCATGTTTGGTTGCTTTCATTATTTATTTGTGAAAGTATAAACTAAGACGTTGCACCTCTGATACTGTCGTCCTTTTATTTTTTTTCATTTGGATACAAAGCTGTAGTAAGACAATGAATTGCTCATCGCTACAGATAGTTATTTGCATTGACAAGATGAGACTGTCCAGCTCTTCAGCCTAGCCCACTCTACAAGAGCCGGATGTCCCCTGCTCCGTAGCCATCTAGGGCTGGGCATTGGCCTGCTATGACATTACATCCGTGGGCTCAGAGTGCCTCTAAAGTAATCCATTCACCTTCGTAGAGCATTTGATTTGTCCAAAATTATCATATCACATTCTAGAAAAGAATAACCCAGCTTTGGAAGCCAGGAGCTACAGTTATGATGAACTAGCGTGACCTTCCATGCGACAGAGAGCAGAAAATATAGCTTACTCATATTCTGTGTTTCATTTTTAGTTTGTTGAATGACTTTTTTCCTGCTGTTGAAGTAGCCTGCACTTTACTTTTTCCAGAATAGCGGACCGCACCGCTGGAATTTTAATGAGGAAAATGTCACATCTTTATTGTTCCAAATGCCAAAATACATCTTAATGGAAATGAATATTTCTTCATTTAGAAGCTAAAGCAGCAGACTTGTCTTTCATAAACCAAAAAATATGTCTAGTCTATGATAGACCTGAATGCTAGTTCTTAAGAAGATAAGTATTAATCCTTTTAATAATTTCTATCTGTGAAGTGGAAACGCTGGGATGGATTCTCAGCAAGTGCAAGTGGATGAAAGTCAACTGATTTTGGAGACCCTGCATGGCTTTACAGCAGCAGAGGTGTGGGCAAGCTCGTGTCTTATGCAGCTTCCCCACTTCTGAACCACAGCAGTCTTGAAGCTACCACAGCTGTTTGAAGGAATGTCTGCTGCCCACAATCCTTTTGAAGTCCATTGCATGCTCCGGTCGTATTTTGTCATTCATTTTGATGCTAATTTGTGTTTGCAGGTGTGAAAACTGTGGTGCTGTCTTCCACTCTGAGTGCAAAGTGAAGGCCGTACCATGCCCCCGGTGCGTGCGTAAAGAGCTGCAGAAGAAGCAGAAATCCTTCTGGAGGCGACTGAATATGGATGAAAACTTCGAAGAGTCTTGCAATATGTTTGAGTTGTCATATCAGAACACATGACTGCCTTAAGGCAATGGCCAGCCTGAAGAGAATCTCTTCCTCGGTTGCCAGCTCAAGCAACTTCTCAGCTTAGCCAGGCAGAAATCTTTTTGCAAAATAGTGTCTGACCTTCTTCTTCATCTGTGAATAGCAGCTGCCAAAGTGGCCGCAAAGTCTTGCTGGCTTTGAAATACCAGTGGCCAAACTGCATTTTGCATTGAAGTCCAGCCAGTAGCTCTCATACAAAATGTGTTTACTTGAAATGCTTTAGGTCTAGCTGATTAAGCACCCCAGTTTTTCTTTTCCACCTCCAGAGAAGACTTTTCCTCAAGGCAGAAAGTATTTCCCGCCATGACCACATTCTTAAGTTATTATTGATGTTGTTCATTTAGAATCGATGGCTCATCTACTTATTTATCTGTATTATTTATTAATAGCCTTGGCAGAGGTTCTGGTGAGGTGTTTTACAGAACCCAATAGGGCAGGAGTGGTTTTAAGCCTACCTGCTCCTTCTGACATGGACATGGGATTGCATTTCCTCATGTTTCCAGCTGCAGAGCTATTTTTGAAGGATCGATGCATTTATTTGTCGCTCCTCCCCGAGGAAAGAAAAATATCTCCTATCAAACCTTATTCAGGATGCTTGCAAGTGTAAGATGCAGAAGAATTCCTTTAGCTATGTTTATCTATTCATAACCAGCCCCATGGAATATTACATAAGCAGATAAGCAGGGAACTTGCTGCTGGTTTTGTTCAGTCGAGGTATATCAGTCATGCTCCGTCACTGAAGTCCGTTTAGTTCTACGCTAGTTATTCTTGTTCTATATGAGGCCACATCCTCATCTCCGGTAACATGATGTTGGTGCCGACCTCCTGCTAGTCTCACATTTGAAGACACTGTAAGTGTTCACGTTGGTTTTGTTTTTATCACGTGAAGTTTACTTGACCTGCTTCTCTAACCTTAACCTCCTAGACTGCTAGACAGAGAAGTGTCTTGTCCTTCTTAGTTAGAAAATATCTCCGAAACTGTGAAACATGCTATTTCCTTTGCTGTGTTCACGTGCAATTTGTGTCCTATGTTCTCTGGAAGCTCTAAGGATTTTATACTTCTGTAGTCACTTAAGTGGTGGAGAGAGAAGTTCTTCGAGGTATGGTTATGCCTCATGTACCTGGAACACAGGGAAGTATTAAACACAGTACATTGTGTATATTGTGAAAGAGGAGTATGTGATAGATTTGATTGGGGAAATACGTGTGTCACCACTGACAGTATGTTTAATTCATTATGGTGTCACCTCCACTGAGCACCTGGAGATGCTCCTCACTGGAACCGACATTCTTAACTCTTTCTCCAGACCCTGCCGTAATGTGATTGCATACATATGAATGCATTCATATATATGTACATATATATGTATGTGTCTACAGAAAACAAATACGGTTTTAGGAGAAAAATCCACAATCACGTGCATGTGTATTTTTTCTCTCCTTTCACATATGTTTGTTAAAGTGCAGAATATTGATCTTTGCTTACTATATAAGCTGTGGGCTGTTGTATTCAAGGCAGAAAGCAGTCTTGATCATTGAAGCAGCTCACTAATTGCCGAACTATTTTAAATAAAAGAACAGGGTACATCACGCTTACGTTAAGGGCCAGGAAAGCTACAAAGAGTTGCCTTGTACTGGAGTGTAAGTAGTTACCTTTTCCAACCTCCAGTTAAAGAAAGTAGCTGAATCAGAGCTTTTTCAAATGAGTACAAGTACTATATGTATAGAAGCATGTTTATATCTGAATACATTAGACAACCAGTGCCTTTCTTTTGCAGAAGTCCTTCTCACAGGGTTTTTTTTTTTTTTTTCAGAAGGAAGTGCAGGTTTTTTCCATGTTCCTGGCAAAATAGTATAGGGATTCCCATATTTAATAAATTTGGTGAATTGTGTACTTTTCTTACCAAAATTAATACTTCTCCTACACAAGGACTGCTGTGCCGCAGCTCGCAGTTCGTCATGTGGAATGAGTTGCTTTCCGCTGCCATCCTTAATGCTCCTTGCAGGTCCGTTCCCACATGAAGAATTCCCTGCATGTTCACAAATGCAAACAGCAGGGACGTGCTGTGGAATTAGTCATGCAAACGGGAACTGCACTGGTACTGGCTGAATAAACAGTACGCTCCCACGTTATTTTCAGCGTGTGTCACTAAGACTAGTCCTGTGGCAAAGCCAGTAGCTGTGAAACCTTCAGGAATTGTCAGGTACTATTTCGAGGTGGCTGCAGACATAATGGTGGGTCATTAAAGAAGAAAAGATGAAGTTTTTTATGCTGTAATGCGTTGGAATTTGAGAGCCGGTTTCTAAAATAGATACATGTTCATTTGTTCATTTCCATCTTGGAAAAGTAATATAACTTCCTCTGGTAGCTGTAGGAGCAGACTGTATTGTGGAAGATGTTTTCTTCTCAGGGATGCCTCGCTCCTATCCATAAAAAGTTACTCTGTATAGGTGTGCATGGCAGGATATAGTCTTCTGTCACTGACTTTCGAGAGCATAACTAAGGCCTGATCTTGTCCTCAGGAAGTATGGATGGAGTAGGAACAAGCCCAGTTCATTTTTCAGGACTGCAAGGCAAAAGAATAAACTAAAGCTACTGCTCATATTACCAGCTCTAAAAGGACAGTTTTCCTATAAGAGCCACCTGGTAGCTGGGACACAGCCTGGGTTTCTGTAGGTGGTTTGACTTTCCAACAACACTTTACCCTTGTGTGGTTGTGTCTGCTGTAGTAACATAGTGCTGCTGCACATTGGTCTCCCAGTGCTACACAGATCACATGCTGTGGTCTGTAGACTTCTGGGTGGGCACAGCTGGAAAAGTACCTGGGATCTTTCCAAATTGTGCAAATCTCTCTCCCCCCCTCCCCCAAAACAAGTGGAACTTATATATTGGTACTTCTTGTCCCATCCTATCCGTGCACGAGGTAAGTTTGAACAAGAACATTTCATTGTGAATCAAATCAAAAATGCGCTGCTTGTCTCATTCACAAAGAAAGCGCTGTCTTAGCTTATGGAGGAGGAATTGATCCATGTATCCAGTTACTGCTGTTACTAGCTTGTGCAGAACTTACAATCACTGTAGAAATAGAGCGCTTCACAGAAATGGACTGTCGCCTGACTCTTTAGAACTGCATAGAATATTTCCAGTCTCAGTTTAGTTAGCCTGAGATGTTTTAACCCGGGATAGTGTAGAGATATTTATTCAACCCTCTTTCTTTTCCTCTTTTATCCACACGCTCTAGCTTTCCCTTAACCGGGGCGGGGGGGAGAGGGGGGAGGACATATCCAGGGGATGCAAACTGCAGCATTTTTAATATTGTCAACCCACAGAAAGAGGAATTCACAGTCTTGCTGAATTTTGATGTCTGAATCCATCCTTGTTCTAATCTGTCTGTAAAATGCATCAGTGTTTGTTTTTTTTTACTGGTAAAACTATTCTTGTTAGGTTAATTTTTAGTGTTCTTGCTGCACTAAAATGAGGAAGATGAGAATGGCCCTTCTGGATTCATTTACTCCCCCTGCCCTGAAATAGTTGGACCTCCTATGCAGAAATGTGATGAAAAACGATTGCTTTGTGATATGACACGATGTCCTGGCTGGCACTTACCAATATGAACTCATTACTGGGCTGATGGAAACTGGTAGTTGTATTCGTTTCCTTGATAAGTGAGGTAAGATCCCTTCTGGTGAGGAATTTGAGTTCTTCATGGTACTCCGCAGGCTTTGATGGCCCTCTTAGGAGTGAATCATCAGGGTACCTCTAGCATTGCTCTTTTTAAGGCTTCTCTTAATAATTAACATCAGGATACTGTGTGTATTACAATTGACTGATGCTGATGTCCTGCAACACTAAAAAAATAAAAAGCAGCATAGGATGTCTGATTACAATGAAATGGGGAAGCTGCAAAGTTCTATTTTGTTCTTTTCTCTGTAGCAGCAGAAGCCATTGAGTTTCCTGTGCCTTCTAAGGTCACGGGCTGGATTGCAACTGACTGTTGGTCTATATGAAAGGAATTTAATTGAATAATCATTTTAATCTTATCTCTTGTTTTCTGCTGCTTTGCTGCAAGCCAGTCCCCTCCCTCCTTCTCACTTTCTCTATCTCTCTCTGCTGTCTTTGCTCACAGTGCTGAGTCTACAGCTAGACCTCAGGCTTCGTAGCTCATTGTGTTGCTGTTGAACCAGTCGAGTCTGATCATTCTCTCCTTCATAATTTGCCTTCCAATTTTCCCTTCCCAGTAGGAGTGCCTTACAGTACTGTATATTAGCGTCTATCTTCCTATTTTGGATTTCCTGATTGAATCTGCTGTTTGATAAACTTGTAGACTTAAACTGAAACTCTCCCATGGCTGCACATGCTGCTTTGCAGGGGCAGCTGAGTAAATCAGTTTGCTTGTTCTGCCCTTGTGAAGTGAGCTCTACAGACTGCATATATGAGCTCTGAAGACACCAAGCTGCATGGAAACCCCTCACTTTTGCTTAACTTGGTGCCTTAAATTTTCGTAAGTGAAGACTCTTGTCAGGAACGCTCTGCCACGATGCAGCATGTTTGGCATTGAGCTGTGAACCCTAGCTCCTGGCAGTTCCTGTCTTACTAGGAATGATGACCATAAAATTTGTTTATCATCTATGCTTTCAGAGGGAAAGATGGGAAAGGATAACATGGAGAAGGTGCTGGTTTTTATTACCAATATTGTGGAGAATAGCTGGGCTTCTCTTCAGCAGAAAATGAGGTTGTGCTTACGCAAGACCTTCAGGAGTTTTGTGTTACAATACTGACAAGCTTGGGGCACGGGAACAGGCTCAAGTCATGGGTGGCTTTGCTCCTCCTGGGACCACTGGCCAGTGTGTGCCCCCTGTAGAGGGTGTCTGGCCAACCTCCCTGCCCACGCTGCAGAGCGGGGTCAGTACTGTGGTGGAAAAAGCATTTCCTCAAAACCGATTTTGACTGCAGCCTGGTTCTCTGAAGACTAACCCAGCAAGGGTTTGGGCAGCTTAACATTAGAGAGCGGGTTAACCTGCTTAAATTTTAGCAAATAAGCAGCTAACCCTTCTAGCCTGTGTGTCAGTCCTGGGCACGTGTCTATACTGATTGTGATCTTTTAAGTCCACTTTTGACGCCGGTAGCAGGAATCCCATTTGAAAACAGCAGTACTGTCACTGCATTTTAGCAGTGAAGTGAGGAGACAGCCCAGAGAATAATGCGCATGGTCCTTCTTTACTTGAAAACCGCAATGTGCACACTCTGACTTGGGACATATCTTCAAATGCCAGTTGCCTCCAAATCTCTTAAGGTGGTCGTTAATCCAAATCACAAGGACACCTCTCGTGGGCTGCGCCAGAGCAGTCCAGGCCTGGAAAGCTGTTAAGTGTCTAGGACCAAAGTGTATTAGGCCTCATCTACATACTCAAGCATCAGTGGCTCAATAATTTATTTATTCATGTCTAATCAATGCTTCAAACGAATATGAATCTTTGAATACACTGCTGTATCAATGGAAAAGGATTTATTTTAGTTTTGTGTATGCACTTGTCTACAAAGTTGATCTTGTTTAAAAAAAGGTGTGTGTTTTCCAACTGATTTTTAATGACGTTAACACCTATTATAGCAGGTTAGCTGTATAATCCCTTCTGTACTTGAGCTAAACAAAGTAAAAATTCGTGAGTAAAAAGGATGTTTGAAAGGTTTTGCACCTAAGCTTCAAAAACCGACTTAAGTTCAATCAAGGCAGTTTTGGGGAAGGGGGGAAGCTGGGTCTGACCGACAGAGAGCTGAGCTACTGCTGTCTGCATCAGTCTAGGCTTTTCTTTCCTTCCACGCACCCAGGTCACCGACAGCACTTCCAGATGGATTTTGGCAATAGTGGCAGTGCACCCCAAGTTTTTTGAAAACCACTATGTGTCTGCACTACTCTATCTGTTAACTTATTGGCAACATCATTATTTGTGTTTCGTTGTTCTTGTTTGTTTTGGTTGATTTACTTTTGACAAGGATTTTTTAAATTATCTGCAACTGTTGGGCAATAGTCTTAATTTATTACTGATGTGCAATGGCATAATTTAAATTCAGTGAGTTGAATTGCTTGTTGACACTTGAGCAGGGTTTCTTTGGGTCATTTGTGACAGCATCAGAGCACCAGTCCCTCGTGTGTAAAGGCAACTCTCAATAAATACTACAAAAACATTACTTGTGTCCTTTCTAATTTGCCTTCTGCGGGGTACTGCACCATGAGTAGGACAAAGCTTTGAAAGAATGCTAGTTTCCTTAAAAAAGCTAAACTGCTGGTGAAAGTGTTCCAAATCTAAGCGAATTATCGTATTTACTGTTCTCAGGTCTGAGCTAGGAAGTCTCTGGAAATACTGTCAATGACTGTACTAGGCTTTGAGTATTTGGATTTCCGATTAAATATCTTAAGTTTTTTCAGAAGTCACGATTGCCTGGATTTTTAAAGGTGACGAGCCCCAGCAGCTCCCAGTGGAGCTTACTGGGAGTGGTTGTTGGTTGGCACCTTTGGACACCGAGCTCTCCATGGCGTGCAGGAGGTGCAGGGAGGCTGCTCCTCCCGCTGCCAGAATGCAGCCTCTGTGCGTGGCTGCCCTGTGGACCTCTACCAGAAGATCCAGGATAAGGGCCTGAATAAGGGAGGCACCTTCCAGTTGTATTGCAGGGCCATAGCCCTGGGAGAGTAGGATCATGCCCGCGCTGTAAGGGTGTTTCCAGCTCAGACAGCTCTGCCTGGGAGCAGGCATGATTGCTTCTCTCCTGAGCTGCCTTCTCCCAGTGCACCAGGCAAGGAGCTTCAGCAGCTCCCCAGGGCCTGGGATTTGGTAAGGATTATAAGGACTGCAGTGCTGAGCTGCAGCAGAGCTAGGGATCAAAACCCACTGCTGGAGGGCCCCCCAGAGCGGTGGGGGGGAGGGGGGGGGGAATCCCCTCTCTTGCTCCCCTCCTCAGAGAGATCAGACGGCCACCAGGAATGTCAATCCTCTCTCCTGCAGGTACCTTTGGACTTCATCCCCACGATGAAATCGGCTACGAGCAATGGGTTAATGTTTGACTGGGACCACACAAGCTGCATGAGGGAACCATGTGCAAGACCGTCTCTTCCTCCTTATTTGCTTTGCAAGGTGAGCAAATTTGGTTACGATACCTCTGTCCCCTTTCACTGCCCCCTGCCCTCCTTATTTGGCAGGGTAAGAGACAGTGAGAAGGAAGCACCACTGCAGAACAGAGATCATGGGTCTGGCAAGCCCTGGGAGGAGCATTAATCTTTGCTTGTTTTTCTTGTCCTCACATGACTGTATTTGTGCAGCTTCTTCTCTCCTCATTGCCCCTTCCCGACCTCCCTATTGTGCTCTGTTTCGATATATGAACCCACCGTTGAAATGAATTGCTAAAAGAACATATTCCAATAGCTGTCACAAGGCAACCTGGGGCTGGAGTTTCAGGCAACGTTTCTTCTGGTTTCAGTCAGGAATTGAAGTGCTGGGATTTTTCTTTCTGTCATATGTTCTCATTACAATGGAGCTGTGCCCTGCAGTGAAGTATAACTATCCCAATAAAACCTTACGTTAGCAGCCCTGTTCTTAATCCCCCAAAAGCCATGCTTGTTGGGTAGTTCTCATAACCTTTTCTGTTCATTTATCAACTAGCCTTTAGCTCAGCGGGCCACAGAAAATCTCAGTTCTTCCAAGTCCCTTGGGAAACAGTAGAAAAACTGGTGTTCACTTCTGATGCTGAGCAATGGGGACAGACTAGCCCCTGCAGAGTATCCACCCACCTCGTCTCCCTCATGGTTAACACCTCTCATTCTGGCAGGACAGATAGTATTTTATAACCATATAAGCGAATGTGTTGGGCAATATTAGAACACAGGCAAATCTCACAGCCCCTTGGGTCCAACATACAACCTTCTGGATTTTGTCCTTCCGTGTTCTCTTTGCACATTAAATGCTTTACGGTAGATTGAACCAGGAGTTTGATCAATCTCATGGCCAAGTCCTGTGAATGGTATTATATCAACCTGAGCATGCCAAGCCAAGCTCCAGCTCTTCCCCTAAAGGTCGGGACAGTTCATTTAAAAAGTTACCCTTCTAGCTCTTAGACCAAAATCAACAGTATTTGGCTTAATTCAGGAAGTGTCTCTATGACAAAAGAGAAGGCACCCTGCAGTACCAGAACAGAAAGCCTATTCCTAAACGATGGATTTGTAAGAAAGATCTGAGGTTAAGACTCCCAACTTATCACTGCATTTATTGTTTGTTTGATTGATTTTTCTAAAAGGTAGAACTAGAATATAACCCACCTTCCAGGAATCTGTAACAGTGATAAGTCTACAAGTTTAAGAAGTCTCAAGGACACTATCTAAAATAAATAAAATGGCACAAACACTCTGTCCAGAACTGTGCTCCAGGCACAAGGAGATGCATTTATTTTTTTCATTCAACTTTTCAGGTTTCCATAATGTGTATGACATAATCCAGATTGCAGTACAATAATAAAATAACCCAAATGGAGCTGGCTTCCTCCCTCTTTCCTTCGGGCTGGAGAGAGGCCTTCCAGTTCTGAGGTTACCATACCTTTTCAGGGAAAGACATGCCGAGGGCAAGTGAAATATTCTGGGAGTGGGCTTTTATGTGCACATGGCTCTGGACTGTCTTTTTAAAAGAGTTCTTGTTTAATTCAATACTCCCCAAAACAGTGGTTCCACCTAGAGGCCTTAGTATTACCGATATGAGAAGGTGGTGAAAAGCATCTCAGATAATCAGGTGTCACAAGTAAAACCGGACAAAGTCTCCAAGGCAAGTAGGAATAAATTCCAACCATTTTAAGCATAGACAAATATAAACCTTGGCACTGAGGCTGCAAACATGCTAAAAAGTGGCTTCATTGTTTACATTAAAAGACTCTTGATTTTCTGTAACCTCACTTTTTTTATCTGAGGCTATGAGGCTCATCTGGAAAGCAAGAGAAGTCAGATAAGAGCTTGTATTAAGGGACTTCACATGGACTTCACGTGGACTTGATAGTTCCCAGGTGTTATTGTGTAGGTACAATAAGGTGTGTTTACAAGTGAATAGGAAGAAATTGTTAGTAAGTATTGTTTAAATGTAAGAATACACACGTACTGGATCTGTGTAAGAAAGTAATAGATGTAATCTGTGCATGGAACAGTTCAGTCCAAAGTATCTTCATGGTACTAAAGTTTATAGATTAATCTCATCTGTGATTAACAGTGCAGGAAGTACTGAAAGTACAGTGACTAAGGCATGAAATGCAGTGAGCAGCTCTCTACTGGACTGTGCCTTGCCCTGCAAGTAATCCCCCTGGCTTCCGTGAGCGAGGGGGTGCAGACTCCCATGGGAGCAGGGCTGGGGGAGGAGAACTGAGATTCCAGCGTATTTTTTGTCGTCAGACATTTGTGTACAATTGCTTGTGACATCGGTGGATGTTGTTTGTTGTGTACTTATTGCAAAATGTCCTGTTTTGGCTTGGACTCTGCACTTTCGAAGAGCATTAGTCTCTTTGATTTAACAGACAGCATGATCGATCCTTTGAGCAGATAGGAGCTCTGCTGACTTCAGCGAAAGCTGCAGTTTGTAAAAGAACCAGAGTTGGGCTCCCAGTGTTTAGAGACATGAGCTGTAGCAGTTTATAAAATTGGCAAATTCCTTCCAAAATGAAGTAACTGGACATGCATTCTGCACAGAGTTAACCCTGGGTGATAGCAGGTAAAAAAAAGAGAGAAAGTATAATAAAAGTATGGGTCTCTACTGTAGGTATTTACACAGTATTGACATTGTAAGCTGTGCTTAGAGATTTATGTCAAGTGTTACTGCACTGTCATAAAACAATAAAGTACTTCTGTGAAGGGCTTAGGGCAAAGGGGAGACAGAAAAGTCTCACTATATAGGGCCCTCCTCCAGCTCCTGTGGGAATCCGTGGGAATTTTTCCATAGCTGTCAGTAGGCAGAGCTGTATGGAGGCCTGCTAGGGGAAGGGGAGCAGAAGCAGCTTATTTGCTACATTCGCAGCAGGTAACTAGAGATTTTATCACAGGGAGGATATTCCCAGCACCCAATTTTAGCAGCCTTGCACAGCTGTTGAGTCTACCTTGCAATGCATGGAGAGAGATGAGGGCTCCTCTAGGGAGCAGGGATTTATTTGAACTGAATTATCCCCTGGTGTTTTGTAGCAATGCTGGCAAGGCCTACAAAAACTGAGAGATGGCACTGTGTTTACCATGTTTACCATGGCCTTCACGGACAGAGCAGTCCCCCTGGCTGGTGGGAAAGGTGCTGCTACCAGGGTGCTCATGGCAGCACTGCCAGCGCACCTTGCAGGCTGGTTTTAGCTCAGGTTGTGGTACGTTGCCCAAGCTAGTACACACACACAGGGGCAAGTGTGTGTGTCTTGCAGCAGAGGATGAATTAAGAGGTATGTCATGACAGAGAGTGGCTTTTTGTTTTCTTGCTTCTAAACAAAGGACAGCACTAACACAGGCACGATATAGTATTTGTGTGTTTAATATGGCACGTTCCTTTTTACCAGTTCCTCCACTGCAGGGACAACAGGCCAAGGTGCAATACATACAGAAAGGTGGGGATTACTAGAGTCTCCAAACTTGTGAGATTTCTGTAGGGATTTAGCCCCTAATACTCTCAGGTTCCTTCATAGACCCTGAACGTAAAGAACTGGGCTAGATTCACTCTGGCTTGCAAGGATCAGCAGATCCCTGCTAGCCGCCTGCCCTCTGCCCTAGCCCTCTGCTCCTGAACAGATCAGCGTTCTTTGAATTGCTTCTCTGGTAGCTGTGGGTTGAACTGGCTGCCTGCGGAAAACAACGTTCTTATCTTCATCTTCCTGCTTTTGTGGCTTTCAGTTGGAGCATCCACGAAGCAAGAAGCATGCAGCTAGTCACTGTGCAGTTACCATACTGCAGCGGCCAAGGGGTCAGGCCATGAGTCTAAGAGGAATAGGATTATTCCTGTGCTCCAGGGCCTCTCCCCAGCGCACCCTGGGCTCGGCACGCTTTTAGCTCTGGACTGGAGTTTGGAGCCAGGTGCAGTGCATGTCTGTCTGTGGGTCTGTGACTTCAGTTTGTCTCCCCTACTCGTTGTCTCTTCTTTTCATGTGGTTATGGTAATATTTCTTCTCCGAGCCTTCCCAATACAGTGGGACCCATGAATCTCAACACAGAAATATATTGCTCTTTCACTAGGTGTGGTTCGCATTTAGTTGTTCTCCTGCTGGTTGCCACTGCATGGGAAGGCATTGTGCTGCTTCTTTGCACACGAAGGAGAGAATTCCATCAAAGCGTTTATCAGAAGTTGTCCCCGCCATAGCAGTCTCACAGCTGTCCTGCCCAAGGGTGGGAGAGATACCTGCTTCCATGACCCTGCTCCAAACAACGCTTCTCAATAATCAGCCGGGTTCAGCAAAGAAAAGCACCTCTGTTTAGAAGGGACTTCTCAGAGCCCTTCATAAACCTGAGTGACGCTGCAGGCCCAGCACACTGGCAGACTGGGAGAGTGCCCTTGTGTTCTCTGTCAGGGAGCAGTGCTCCATGTCTGCCAGTCTTCACTGTTCTCCCAGGGAGCTGATTAGGGTTGTTTGCAAAATGGGTGGACAGGTACCGAGCACTTCAACATCTGACCCCACCTCCCCCAACTGGCTGAACTAATTTTGGGCATAGGCCACTAGATCAGCCTTCCTCTCCAAGATCATACTTCTTATCGTGTCCTCTCTCGGAAGCATTGTCCATGCTGTTTCCTGCCCCAGATTTTATCTTAAAAGCTAATGAGTAGAGCTGAAACGTGTCTCTCGCTCATCAAATGCCTTGTCAACCTCCAGCCTCCAAGCAGAGCTCACACTGGAGCTGCTCTCTCACAGCTGATGGATTCGCTCCAGCCAGTTCTTGGTGTGGTGAAAATTGGTCACTCCTCAGAGCCCTGGGAGGTGTCACAGTGGCAATAAACAGCCTCATTCCTGTGACACCTGAGGTCCCTGTCATTCCTTTGCATTCCCAGCTCAGCCAGTGCTGAAGACATGGTCCAAGTGCGTTCCCCTACTCCATCAGCATGATAGCAGTCTCCAGCTCCACAGGACCACCACGAACCCCAGCAGAGCACTGCAGGACACCCTGTCCCTGGTTCCCTTGGCCTTGTTCAGAAATAGGAGTTTTTAAGCTCCGCTTGGTCAGAGGTAAGCACACTCTCTCACACATGTACCCAGAGCACAGTGCTGTGGCACCAGCAGGCCCTTGGCTTTGTATGTGATCTTTTCCCATGAATATCTCAGTGGTGTCCTCATCACATGAGCTCTTCAGCCTCTGGGATGGCAAGACAGCCTGGGAGATTGAGATGACCTTTTTACTTTGTACATATCTTGCTCTGCTTACCCGCAGATTAAAATCACAAGCTTGGCTCTTCTCTTTATGAATTTGGAGGGGGACCTTGGAGCAAACCGCTTGGGACTGGTAGGTGCATGCACGCAGGAGAGACAGAGAGCAGAGTGTGTCTTTCTCGCTCCTCACACTCCTTCTCTTCTTTTTATTGACCTCGCTCAGTGATTGGAAAAGACCCATGTCCCCCCCCCCCACCACCCCCCTACTCCCCCGCCGCACCCCACAAT